TACTATAGGTAACAAATGGACTTAAAAAGATTGAATGTCCATTTCTAAGTCACTGGCTTCTTAAATATATAATTTCTGTGTAACCACAATATGAGTAGTAACTAACACTCTAAAAACTGGGAGCAGATGGCTCCCAAATCAGATTGTGCGGTAATCTTGGTGTGAAAGGAAGTTAGAAATAACTCTCACCCTTACTAAAACAAGGCTCCAGCTCCACCTCCACCATATATTATTTAAAGAATATATATATAGTACTAAAACAAATGGAAACATGATCTAAAGGACAATCAACAATGGAGTCATTTTTAACATCTTTCAATTTTGCTCTTATCTGCCAAAACTTCCTGCATTCTATTTTACTTATGTCTTAGGACCCAAGGCAATTTTTGGTTCAGCAGTTACTGTAGACTCACTATGGGCATCCTCTTCAATGGGTAGATTATACTGTCTTCCCCACCCAAGTCAGGGCTGTATGTCCCTCTTATGAGCTCTCACAGAACTCTGTATTTTCCTCCATTCTGGTACTTATCATACACTCGTGTAACTTTTTGTCTACTTATTCATCTTCTCTCCTAGATTATGAGCTTGAAAACATAACCTATATCTTATTTTTGGATCCTCATCACCTAAAACAATACATAGACCATTAGAAGACACAGATTAATGAATAAGTGAATAAAGGCATTAACAGAAAATCAAATACATTTTCACATCTGTGTTTTTATAACTTAGGCAAATGACAGAAATATGTCAGACAAAGGAGGGAAAAGAGTGTTTTTCCTTTAGATGGATAGTTTAGAAAGACCTATAAATTAGGGATGCCTGGGTGGCTCAGTTGGTTAAGCCTCTGCCTTCAGCTCAGGTCATGATCTCAAGGTCCTGGGATCAAGTCCTGCATTGGTCTCCCTGCTCAGTGGGGAGCCTACTTCTCCCTCTGCCTTTATCCCTTCTCCCCGCTTGTGCTCTCTCTCTCTTTCTGACAAATAAATAAATTAAAAAAAAATTTTTTTTAACCTGTAAATTAATCACATTCACAAAGAAACTGAGATGCCAAAGATTGAAACTTAGCCTCTTATCTTTACCCACAATAATATCAACAACATAATAACATCTTCACCAATAATGAATAAAACCAAATTCTGCACACTGATTTTCTAATACAAATATTACGACCTGGTCTTACTCTCTTGAACTGATAACACTACTGAGAATTCAATTATAACTGTTTATTTAAAACAAATAATTAATATGTCTCTTTAAACATTTTGATAGAACATTGTATTTATTATCAAGTATGTACCATGATCTAAAAATAACAGAGTTGCTTTCAGAAAAAAAAAAAAAAAACCTGCCAAACGTGATCAACATCATCATACCGGAGCAAGGATTTTGCTACAATATTTACAGTTTCCAGTGATTTTCCAACAGTCTGAAGCAGTGATGTGAGTTTCTTACAACCAGGCTATGGTAAAATTTTTTCCAGGGAACTATTTTTAATAGGATTACTGACCCTTTTAACTCTCTTGGAAAGAAAATGAATCCTATAAGCATTCTGGCATATAACTATTATAAAAATAAATAGAACAGTCAGTCAGGGGAAATCGTAATAGACTTGAGAAACCAAACTCTAAAGAAATGTACATGAGAGTGTATTGATAACCACTTTCACAGGGAGAAGATTCTACACATTAGCAAAACCGAGCACACGAAGATAGACGAAGGGCTGGAAAGAAGGGGCAAAGTCTGAAGGAACAGCTTTCCTGTCTTCCTTAAAACAGACCCACAATCACTTCGATCAATTCTGCGGGTTGTCACCCGATGCCCTGGCTGTCCCTAAGGGCTGTCTGGTTTTTCAGAAGGTACTTACATGTTTCAGGGGGGACAAGGACGCTTACTGATTAAAGACACATTTTTGCACTCACAATTCTTTGTGCTTTAAGAAGAATTTTTTTCAGGTCATTAGTTTATAATGTGAACTGGCGCCTAGGGATATTTTGAAAGGAGGAAAAAAAAAAAAAAGAGTGCGCTTGGAGATGCAGTTTATGTGACTTGCGTCATCATTTATTTCAGCTCGGTTTGGGGCCCAAAACTGAACTTGCAATGAAGTCACCACATCTGCAACAGTTTCTTTCTCAGCATGCAATGACCTAACAGAAATCTGAGAACAGAATATACCCCTTAGCCGCAAAACAAGAACATTATAACTTCTTTAAAATATCCACGGGCTTGCAAGAAGTTCTTACTTTTTCCGAGTATGAAAATAAAATCAGCTTTACAACTAATTTCCAAAAATAATTTGGGTTATCAAAATGCCACTGGCATTCAGAATGTATTAATCCTGCTAGTGTTACTTGTTTCCAGGACCCTACCCCAACCATTCATGCTGCTCTGTTAGGTACAGAGAGCATGGAACAAAATCATTAGGCTCAGAGAAGGCAAACATCTTCCCAAACCCAAGGTCACAGACCAAAAGATGATTTGGCCATTAATCAAGAGTAGTTGGATCCACATATCCTGTCAAAGGAGATCATTCACAACCCCAAAGTAAACTAGATATTACCTAATTTTTCCATTAAGTGTAAACAAAAACACAGTCCGCAGTTTAAAACTGTAAACAAAACAAATATAGATATTTCAGTGGATGAGGGAACAGAAGGCTGGCAGAGGGCAAAGCAAAAGCTGACACCCTACTCCTCCCCCAACTCCTGGGTGGGACAAGTGTGACATTCTTTAGGAATCTCCCAACTATGTTAATGTTAATACCTTGTTAAGAAGGGGAAAAGGACCTTGACAATGACAAGGCCTCATGGCCTCCAGTATCCTGTAGGTCCTCTTTAGCATATGAAAGTTCTTTTGAAACCTCCTTTTTTCCTTACCCCCCCCACCAACCCCATCATATATAACCTGTCACGCCTCACAACCCTGGGGCAGCAGCTCTTTCTGCCAGTGGCTTTAATAAACCATCATTTTGCACCAAAGATGTCTGAAGAATTCTTTCTTGGTTATGGGCTCCAGACTTCACCCCACTGAACCTCACCTACATTCTAAAACTTCATCACAACTATCTTGCAAAAGAAGCAAGGTAGAGGTACGCCTGGGTGACTCAGTTGGTTGAGCATCTGCCTTCCGCTCAGGTGATGACCCCAGGGTCCTGGGATAGAGTCCTGCATCAGGCTCCTTGCTCCGTGGGGAGCCTGCTCCTCCCTCTGCCTCTGCCTGCCACTCCCCCTGCTTGTGCTCTCTCTCTGACAAATAAATAAATAAAATCTTTAAAAAAAGGAAGCAAGGTAAAACCACTTTTCCTCTTCTTCACTGTAAATACCTTTCTTACACATTTGTTAAGGACACATGAGTCATGGTTTAAAATCATGAAGCCAAGTATCCTGACAAATGTCACCACCTCGGGAGATGCTGAAACTCCCCGTTCTCAGTCAGGTACACATTAGAATCCCCAGGGGGAACTTTTACAAAGTGTGGATTTCTGGGCCCCAGTTAAGACTCAGAGGGGGCCCCAGAATCACCGCGCTCTACAATACCCTCCGCTGAGTCCATAGTGCAGCAAGGGGGGGAAACCTACTGCCTCACAGATGTGGATCAATGACCCTCAAAGGACCAGACTGATAGCAAGTCAGTAGCAGGCGGGCTGAAGCGAAACCCAGAACGAAGATGACAAACTCAAACGCCTACAGGCGCCACTTGGGTGAATGAAGCAGGCAAGGCACACGCGCACATTTTTACCACGTGTGAGAGCCAGAGGGTGTGACACACAGGGAGCTCATACAGCAAGGGCTCCCCAACTCTAGCTGCTATTGCCATCACGGAAATAAGACGTAACAGGTCTCCTCTCTTAACTGGAAATAAACAAAACAAGTCAGTATTTTGATGTAAAATTTCCCAACTTTTAGGGCGCCTGGGTGGCTCAGTGGGTTAAGCCGCTGCCTTCGGCTCAGGTCATGATCTCAGGGTCCTGGGATCGAGTCCCGCATCGGGCTCTCTGCTCCGCGGGGAGCCTGTTTCCCTCTCTCTGCCTGCCTCTCTGCCTACTTGTGATCTCTCTCTCTGTCAAATAAATAAATAAAATCTTTAAAAAAAAAAAAATTTCCCAACTTTTAAATGTTAGCTCAATAGAAAAAACACAAAGCCTAATGAAACAGGCAACATGGGCATGGCCTTTAGGCTTTAATTTATCACTTCCAATCTAAAGGATTGTTTCCATTCTCTAGAAACCCTAGCATCATCTGTGTCGTAATGATGACAACAACACAATACCTAGCATTCGTTAAGTATTTACCTGCTTGCCGCTAGGCTCAGAGTTTGACTTGAAATTACCTCAATTAACCTTCATCCTTTTTTTTTTTTAAAGATTTTATTTATTTATTTGACAGACAGAGATCACAAGTAGGCAGAGAGGCAGGCAGAGAGAGAGAAGAAGGGAAGCAGGCTCCCTGATGAGCAGAGAGCCCGATGCGGGGCTCCCCAGGGTCTCAGGACCCTGGGATCATGACCCGAGCTGAAGGCAGAGGCTTTAACCCACTGAGCCACCCAGGCGCCCCAAACTTCATCCTTTAAGGTACTGCTTTTACCCCCACCCCAACTCAAAACCCTCCCCCAAGGTCACGTGCCTAGAAAGTGGCAACACCAGGATCCAAATGGATACAGTGTAACTCCATAGCCTATACTATGCTATATGTCTTAAAAGTTTTAAATATACTTTAAAAAATCTCCATTCTTTGCAGTTACATTTCTTCAAAAATAAAGGAATTATACAAAATTATTTCTCAGGTCCCTTTTGATTTTCAAATGCAATGGCTCTGACTCCATAATACAACTCTTGGTTGTATAAAAATGTTGGTATTTATATCCATCTGTCTCAACCACCTGATTAAAAGAAAGAAAGGAATGGATGCTTACTGCACAGTCTTTTTGAAAAGGCAACAAAGACTTAAGATTATAATAAAATCTATCTCTACTGCTGTAGAAAGTTTACTTCTCCATTTTACCTTTTGAAAGATGAGTAAAAGTGCTCAGGAATTCTTCGTATGTTTGTTCATGGCAATTTACAAACTTATCCAAGACTTCTTCAATTAATTGATCTTCATCCATGATCTCCAAATCTGATATTTGGGCAGGCATTCCTTCTCACAAGGCCACTTTACCTAGAAGACAAAGAAAAACATGAGCTAGAGAACTGTGCAGGACCAGCCTCCTTGAAAATGCTGTAGAAACCTGCAGAAATTCAGTCTTTCAAGGTGACGTGGATTTCAAAGGGTATGTCAACCACGCATCCAATGACAACAATAATAGCTTATATTCATAAGCTACTTATTTAGCACTTACTATGTATGAAGGGCTGTTCTGAGCATGATAATGTTAACTTCGTAACAATCTGAGCTCAGGTCACAGAGCCAGTAGGTAGAAATAATGGGTTCTAGAGCCGGATCCTTAGAACGCATGGCCTTACGCACTTCACGATGTTTTTCATTCTATCTGTTACATGACACTCTGCCCCCACCATGTACTATTGTACTGCTGCTGCCAAACAATTGGCTTGTCTGTACTTTAACACACCCAGCGACTAGGAACTCTGAACATTCCAAAGAAACCTTTGGACAGCTCTATTAAAGACCTCTTTTAAATCTCTCTCCCTGTACATTTCCCCAACTGGTCCCTGAGCCCCTGAGATCATACTGAATAATTTCAATCCTTCTTCTACAGGACAGCTTTCCAAATATTTGAACAAGCCTATGCTGTCCCTCCTCAATTTTATTTCACTCACTTAAATTTCTTTTTCAAAACCCAGCTTAGAATTCAGTTTCTCTCTGAAGGCTTTAGCCTTCCATCTCCCATCACCACAGAGAGCTGATCATAATTTCTCTGTGCTGCTTCTGGACTGCGACTTACATTGTATTAGAAATAGCTGTGTACATTTCTGTGTCCAATTAGACACAAAGCCCATGAAAGGCAGAGCCCCTGTCTTTTCATTTTTGTACCCCAAATGTTAACAGCTTAGGATGGGGCATACAGCTGGCAGTCAATCAATATGAAGCTAAAATTACTCATTTAAGGAGGCACAGCAGTCAAATACTGCTAGAAGCTGGCAAAACTTTCAACTAAAGTCACCCAATTATTTCACCTGTGCCTAACATGACATAGTTTCAAGTGTTTCCACCCTCCTGCTCAATCTACCTGGAAAAGATTTCATACTGTCCGCATCTCCCTTTAAAATATACCATTCTTGGGGCACCTGGGTGACTCAGTTGGTTAAGCAACTGCCTTTGGCTCAGGTCATGATCCCAGAGTCCCAGGATCTGCATGGCACTCCCAGCTCCACAGGGAGTCTGCCTCTCCCTCTGACCTTCTCCCCTTCTCATGCTCTCTCTCACTTTCTCTCAAATAAATAAACAAAATCTTAAAAAAAAAATATGCCATCCAAAAATGAAGCCAAGATCCCAGACATGGTCTGGATCCAGTGAAACCGGACTAACTCTCACATTCCAAACACTGCACTGTGTCGCCGACGTGCACCCACATTGCCGGTAGCCTCCTCGCACTGTCAGTTCATTTAACACACTGCTAAATGCCTGTCAGCTGAGACATAATGCTTCCATCCTTGCAGTTTGAACTTAGTTTTTCCTTGTGATATTTCATCTTGTTAAATTCCATTCATTCTGTATGAAATATCTTTCTTGCATAGCTTTGAGAAATTTACTATCTACAGAAAGCAGAAGAGTCATTACTGCCTACACAGTCAGTATAATTCGTGGGGGATAATAAAAAGAAGGGGGTTCTCCAACAGTGTACAGCAGGAGGAGAAAGGTCTGAGCTTCTTCTGTTTCTCTAAAACAAGAGCAAAACTTTGTTATTTGTTACTCATTTTATTTGATATTTACCAAAAGTTCAGAAGGACACAAAAGTGTTCTCATAAGATGATGTCCAACCTCATCTGGGGGCAAGACCTGATTTGAATTAACATGAAAGTATTTACAGCTTTTATTTCTTCTACTCTGGGTGACTACTCATACATTTCCCTGAAGAAATATTAACGGGTTTGTTTCTGAGGTGCTTTCCCAGACCCCACTGTAGATTTTGTGTCATATGTGGTATTATCCCTGATTACCTTTCTAAACTCCAAAAAATTCTGAATTCTGAAACACATCTGACCATAAGGGTTTTTAATAAGCAACTGTGACTCCACACACTCCTCACAGGATCGCTCTGAGGATCAAATGGGCACACACGGCCCTTCAGAACTGCCAGCCACCATGATCAGACTTAGTATTATACTCAGTCCTTGACCTGCTTTGACTGTGAACCCTCTGCCTCTGAGGGCACCGATGTCACTTAAAGATAAATAAGATAAGCACTCGTGGTTTACACCTCTAGATAAAAACGTGGTGTTGCAGAACCCCCCAAAATAAGATGGAAATAATAGGGGCACCTGGGTGGCTCAGTGGGTTAAAGCCTCTGCCTTCCGCTCAAGTCATGACCCCAGAGTCCTGGGATTGAGCCCCGCATTGGGCTCTCTGTTCAGTGGAGAGTCTACTTCCCCCTCTCTCTCTGCCTGCCTTTCTGCCTACTTTTGATCTCTGTCTGCCAAATACATAAATCTTTAAAAAATAAATAAAATAAAATAAAATGAAATGAAAAATTTCTACAGAGCTGTAGATGAACTCAAAACCAAAGAAACTATCTCAAACTATTTGTACCTGAAAATTAAAAATAGGAAAAAGCATCACTTGAGGTTTATGCAAATTTACCTGTAACACTGCCAGGCTTTGGCAAGCCAAAGTTTAATAAATTATGCTGCAATTGCTAGATAAAAAATAATAAATAAATTTGAAGGTGACTGTTATTTCACTGTCAGTAGGATATGTACTTAATTACAGGAATGTTAATGTCAATCTGCTTTTCCAGAACTGGACCCCAGCAAAATTCCAACTCTGAATGACATCAATCTCTCCCTCAAACCATCTTGGGTAATCTACTTCAGCGAGCAAATACCAAACAGAAGCAGCCAGGTTGTGTTTTATATTGCTGTAAATGTCTCCTTGTGGATGCTTTAAAAGCGATAATAGAAATTCTTTCAAACTTCCTTTCCAATTCTCAAAGTGGTATATTTTGAGGTTTTAGCCTTAACACATCTCAGTTTTACCAAAGGGAAATAATTAACAAGCTATGCACAGCGCGCATTCAAATTCCTTCAAGACCTTTAATTTTATTCATGTGGTTATCGCAATACAGGAGAAGAAATGTTTTTATCGACTTTTTAAAGACTTTTGGAAAATCCAGTTTCCTAAACTGTCATTATTTGAAGAGTTTAACAAATACCCACCTGCAAATTCATAACTTTCCTTATCTATAAAAATACATATAACCTAATGTTGAAAGTCCCCAAGGACTGACAGAGCAGATAATCATTTACCAGACAGCCAAGTGGTTTATGCAAATCCCAGTGGTTTTGTAGAAGGAAGCAATGCTTTTTCAGTTGCCATTCGTGCATGTTTGTGTTTTTATCGTGAAGTATTCTTTCTAAAAGAAAAAAAAAAGGAGAGACACTTGCCCATAGTAGGGTTCTTTGTTTTGGTTTGATTTTTATGTTTTAAGGCTTAGAGCTCTTCATGAAAGACCCAGAACATATTGTGAAGATAAGTAAATGTGTAGAAATAATGACCAGTAAATCACACATAACACTTTCACAATCACAGCCATTAGGAGGAGACACAGGGAGGATGTTTTGCTCCACTTGGACTAGTAAATTTCACAGGAAGACCGCAGGTTTGGTTCTCTTCCTCTCCAGTCACTGAGAAATGGAGAGAAAAATCACATTAATCTTCCTGGAGTCCTGTTCCTACCACTGAATAAAGAAACTAACCACCCAAATTAGTTTATGTTCTGTGCTCTCCGAAAGGACATCATTATGAAAATATGGCATGTGGAATTCTCACCATTGATTTAATGCATCTTTGATGTTTATCTTCAGATCTCTGCTTAATGCAACCCACCTAAAGAAAATGCAACTTTCAGAGGCAAGAGTGGTTAAATCTTTGGAAACAAGTCGCCACAAACTAGTCTCCTCTCAAAGTGTTTTTTAACCTGTTTTTTAACAGCACAGAGAGCTGTGTGTTGGTAAAAATAGGGTTGTCTTTTTTAAATGCAAGGTTTACTGCTGATATTCTAAAATAATAAATAACACAGTTTTAAAGAGTTGTGCAGAGGCTGTCAAAATCCACTTTCTCAAATTTTCATAGTTCTGTTCAATAAGAATCTCCTGGTGTGCTAAACGGTAAGATGGAATATTATCAAAAGAATTCACCTTGCCTACAGAAATGAAACCAACAACCTTGGTACTTCACAGGATGGGTCTCCTTTTATATTTTGGAAAATGGGCAAATCTCAAAAAGACCAAATTACATGGCAAGTGTACAGATTTATTTATGGGATAGAAGAGACCCAGTATGAACTGATTTCCTCTTCCTTGACTGAACGACACCGATCTTGCATCCTTTAATATTTTTCATGTCTTTTAGATCGTATCAAAAAGAGAGAAAGAAATCCAATGACTGAAATTGTCACAGATTCTCAGGGCTGAGAGAAACCTGAAGGTCATCTAATCCACTGATAGAGAATAAATCTGAGAAAGACACTTTGGGTAGGGTTTTTGTCAAGTAATGACTATTGATGACAAACAGTAATGTGGTTCTCATATCAAAAGTAGTAATAGCATGTTTCTGATTATGAATTTCAAGGCATACATAAAGTTGGCAGGAAATTAAGGAAAAGGCAGCAATCTCACCCAGATGGGTATACCCAGGCCTCCAACAACACTCTGTACCCAATAACATGCAAAACACCTTGAGGAAAAGAAAGGCAAAAAGTGTGTGTGTGTGTGTGTGTGTGTGTGTGTGTGCACGCGCGTGCGCACGTGCACGCAAGGACACAGTAACTCTTCTACTGCGTTTTATCAGCATGAGATAAAAACGTGCCATTCTAGCATCAAAGAATATGCTGCACTTCAAGTTATAAACTTTTCCCAATGACCCTTTCCTAACACTTAAAGGCACAGAATTCTTCATTATCACCAAAATGTTGATGCCATAATCATCTAGACCTCTATATAGATTTTATTTTATTATTTTTTTAATTTGACAGAGAGAGA